TTTCTAATGATTTTCATTTTCCTATTTATTCTATTTCTGGTGACCAGCATAGACTGATTGACAAAATAATTTTTGCTAAAATCCTTGCTTTCTATGGTACAAGATGCTTGGTATGGCAGAACAAGAATGGCAATTGATGACAATATGTATTGCATGTGTTATATTAAAAAAAAAATCCCTAAATTGAAAAATCCCTAAATTAAAATCCCTATTTGGTCACCAGTATGAGCGTTAATTGATTAGTTTTCCACACATGTGGATTTCATTTAGGGATGGATTCAGGGAACCAGATTTGTGGAAAATGATAACCTACCCTCTTTATACACATACATAGTCATATCCACAGCAACAGCCACATCCGACACTCACCCTAAAGATAATGATTATCCACGTATTTTCATTCAAAACCAAATTAAGAAAATACTTGATAGACATTTTAAGAAAAACGAAAACAACAAATACGCTTACTACGACAGAATCAGAACTTCAAGAAAGTAAAACTCTGAAAAAATGAACTAGTCTTCAGAGATCTGCCCTATATCGGTAATACAATGAAATACCTAGGAAAAAAAGATAATCGATATAGCTAAGAAAGTTCGTTCTATCCTTAATGCACAATCGATCCCTCGACTATCACCATCAATCGGCAATTATTTTGTACAAAAAGATAAAATTCATAAAGATTTCCAATCTCATTTAATCTATTTGATATCATGTTCGAATTGTAGTAACACTTATATAGGCAAAACTATAAGACAAGCTTCAAGAAGACTGAAAGAACATGAAACTCCTTCACACGTGAATTCATCATCATCATCATTCAGTTCTGAAGTGATAGAAATAGCACCCACAGAACAACAACTAAGAAGATCCGAGTGGAATAAAAACAAACTAAGAATTGATTATTCTTTGCGACAAAAAAAATTTGAAGACTATGGGGCCAGGGCATGCAGTTGAATAAGCACTTATTCAATTATTTATCTTTATCCTAGTGGTGATAGTTTGACTTCTAATGGAAAGAAGATCAACCAGTAGTAGAACAGTAAACTTTTTCTTTGTATTCTCTCGTTAAAGTTTCCTATTGAAATATTTGTAAATTTATTTCGTCTTGAAAATGATATGAGAAATATTGAAAAGTCGACTTGTATTAAGTTATCTATCTTGAATTAATAAATAAAATTATCATTAAATTTAAAGCTGCTGTAAAAACTATAATCTTCCTTTCAATCCGCATCCACACCTACAGCTTATCACTCACAGCTCAGACTTCTAGAGAATGGTGATAAAAAAAATATTTCTCGATACCGGAGGAAGATTCCAAACGTGAAAAATTGAATTGTGATAAAATAAAAAATAAACTTGTGAAAAATAATTAGGATTCAAAGCTGATTCTCAAGCTAATAAAATTGGAGTCAGAGTTTTTAGGAACACCAGGTTCATAACTTGACACACCTCTCTTAGACAATCTACGTACATATATACCAAAAGAATGAAGTTGAAACAATTATGTCATAGCATCTATTGAATCAACAGTACAAACAATTTTCATGATTTTAAATATAGATCAGTTGATTTGTTTTCCATTTTCGGAATGGATAAAGAAACTAGTTTTGGTCGTCGTTATTGTCTTATTCAAACCAGAGAGATATAATCTATGCATCTATTAGTCATTGCATGGAATCATCTCTTCCCATCTAATGAAAAAGAAATTAGATGATAAGCATTTGGCCATATACGAACAAGGTAAGAAATGCCATAAGCAGCTTACGATCATATACGTTATATTAATCAGATTTTACAAAAATACTTTTCATTGTGATTCGTCCGAGGAAAAATGCAGATCTCAGTGTCATCCGTGTTGCGATCATTTCTAGACAAAGAGTTTTCAAGTATTCAAGAAAGGACATAGATACAAAGGTTATAGTGGAAAATCCGATCATGTCAAGATCGACTATTTAAATCTTTGATGTATCATATGGATGAATAAGTAGAGAAATTGAATGATTAGTGCCATAAAAATTCAATTATTATTTGAAGACATGGATTCTTCTGAAACCTTTCTATAGTTCTTACCAAATATATTAATCAAGAAGGCTTCTTAAAATCAATATTAATCTAATTGATATGACCTAATTGAATCGACTTCAAAGGTAAAATTATTTGTATTGTGCAAATTTATAAATTCTCAATTAGAGCTGTGTTAATGAGACAAAGAAATATAAAGTTACTCTGTGTACTTGATTGACAATTTATTGTTCAAGAATATTTTATTTATTCAACGTCCATAATTCTATCGATGCATCATTTTTCGTTTCATCAGCATAAAAAAATCATACAAAGCTTTCCGAAATATAGTTCCACCACATAATGTATAAATATAGAAGGGTATACCATTCGATATAAAATAAGATAAAGCGGCTACTTCATATACGAAATTGTTAATAGCCTTTTGTACCGAAGATCCATTGCCTTCTGAGAATGTTGAATAAAATTTTTCAAGAGACAGTGGAAGAGTAAAAATAGTGAGAAGTAAAACTTGAAAAAAAAGCATTCGAAGAAGACTATGATTTGTTTTCCATTTGGATTTACTGTCTGGATTTTCATTATTTGATGCTGCTGAGTTCTTCTTCGTAAGCGTCATATTCCGTAATTGTAATTGATGAATACGACGTTGTGATTGACGTACATTTGAAATAGTTAACAAACCAAATAAAATCATCAGAACTAAAGGAAATAGTATTGTGATCACAGCAAATGATGAATCAGTGATAAGACGACATGCGTCCGTTTTACCATAACATTTCAGAGGAGTATCAATCAGATTTGCTTCATAGCAATATAATTGTTGAGCATAGAGAAGAATTGAAAGAATGACAATTGTCGTTGTCCATCGTTGAGCATTCTTTAATGTGCTTTTTTGTCGACGATGAACATTGGTACTTGATAAAAGCCATCGATCAACAGTGGCTAATACAATTAACCATGAAGCAATTGTTCTTGTTGAGAATACAACAAAAGCACGAAGTTTGCAAGCCCATCCAATATAATCTGTTGGAACGGTCGTCCAACCATTAATTATTCGTGTAGTAAGACCAAATAGAATAGAAATGAGATTAACAATGGATAAAGTCAGGAAAATCCAAGCACATGAATTAGAACGAAAAGATCGTCGAGTGAGAACAAGAATATTGAGAATGTTTCTAACAACACCGAACAGAAAAATAATAAGCGTTGCATAACGATTGCATTGAGTTGAAATACTTTCCAATAATATTATAAGAGATTCGTTATCTGATATCGCGGACATTTTAATCTTTAAAAAACATTAGATTTGGTTCTACTAAAAATGAACGACAAAAAAAACAAATGAATTTCATAATGTATTTTGAATTTATAATTTTTCCTGAAATAGAGGATATTTCTAGAATGTTCATAGTAATAGGAATTAGATCTGAATTGAATGGAAACTTTCAACTTCGTGTACATAAGTTGAATCATCTCATATCAATAGTAAATATGAAACTTTCATAACCGATTCAAATATATGTTCTACAAAAAAGAACTTAAGCTATCTCATTTCAATACCGAGAATAAGTAAAAAAAGTACATTTTTACCGTTTTGAAGCAGGAGTTGATACTATCACAAATTGAATATAGCGAGCTATTATTAAGATCTTTTTAACACTGAATTATAAATTAAAAGTTTCATTAATTAATATGATGCGAAGCACTTATATAGTGTTTCATTGAAAGTTTTCTTTTTATATTTTTTTCTTTCTTGGAATCTATTTGTGCACATTAAAATTTTTCATTCTCTGAAGCAGAATGTGATAAAACATCGATTCACAGAAAATGAAGAAATGATAAGCTAGCAAATAATATATTTGGGTTTTTTTGTGTTGAAAGACGAACTTCACCTCTTTACAATTATCATTGCAAAATAATACATTTTTACGAAGCGTTTTTTTTCGGATATTTTAGATAAATAAAATGAAAACATTGACATTTACAGTTGAAAAACAAACTAATGGTGTGATTTGACTAAGAAATCATTACAAGATAAACGTAGTGTGTCTATAAATAAAAACTTATTTTTTTTAGCGAGTTAGCATTAATAGATATTTTTATCTCATTTCATGACTAAGTGAGACATACTATTGAAATTATTTTGAATTATCAAAATACTTTAATACTATTGCAAACGAAATTATTTTTAGATTCTTGTTTTTCCAATGTATTCAAGCTTGTTATTTTCAGACTCATTTTGACAGATTATTACATATTTTCCAGAAATGCTTTAAAAGAGACCCACCGAAAATTTACAAAGCTCACGACATTTGAAAGGTTCTTCATAACAAATGAGAATAACTAAAATAAATTTGTATTTCAGACGATACTATTAGATTTAGCTATATGTCATTAAGTATTGCGACACCTTCGTTAGACATGAATGAGTGTAGCTCATAGTTTATTATACAAGTACTGAATCTTATCGAGGAAAACTTCTCGTTATTAAAGTATTAAGAGGCTTTGAAATTACTAAACTCATACAATAAATAGTTCTAAATTATGAATGGTATTCATGTTTTGGTACACTTTAGAAAAGATGGTTTGGGTGAACATCACATCCTATCAAATGATCATTTATTATAAACAGTTTTTACTTATCAAAACTTGTTTGCTTTGCAAATATAACCATATCGGAATAATATCTCATCGAATAATCAATGTAGAATATTAAACTCATAATTTCATTATTCTTGAAAATAGTATTAAGTTTCTAGTATCAACATTCGTCTGTTTTAATGCTGAAAGGCTAAGACAATTACAGATTAGCAAACTAAATAAATTATTGAAAAGTTCTGGTAATAACAAACACTTGCTTCTAAACAATATTCTAGAAATTAGTTGGTTTATAAATAACTAAAGATATGATATTTTATTCCGTACCAAAACAATCCATATATGAAAATGTATCATGTAAACAAATTTAAATAGAGCACATAATTTCATGCAGAATGTCAATTATATATGAATATATATGCTTTTAAAAAAAAGATTATGATAATGGAACATTTCCGTGAAGAAGATCAACCATGTATAATACGGCAATTTTAAAAAAGCATTATATATTAAGCATATCTAGCGAACAAACATCAATCCCAGGTAAAAACGCATGTTTTTTTAATAAAATATCATAATCACAAAGCGTTTTGCAAAAATCGTCAAACACGAATGAAAATAGTAGCAAAGTCAGGAAGGCATCGCGCGAAGGGTGAGTAAAGCGTTAACTCTCGGTTGCATATTAAGAGCAAAATTATTCATGCAGACGTGTTATGTCCAAATTGCGAACAAAAACTAAGTCAATTAAGAAAAAAATGTTCGTAATTTGGAACATAGAAAATAAAGTTGATCTTATTTTTATTGCGTTTCCAAATTGCGAACACTTTTATTAATTAGTGATTGCAATAGTTGATTATGAGTTCAATTTTATTAATAATATAAATATAGAAGTTTGAGAATAAGAATAATATCACAATTCAAAGTATGAATACAAATTTTACTTGGTCACCAACTGTAAGAGATGAAAATGCTATCTTGTATAATAATCATTTATATCGATTGAGATGTGAAAACAAGAACGATTCATTTGTTTATATATGTACTTTCAAATCTTGTTTTCATATTATAACTTTAAAAGACAATACAATTATCAAATCAAATATATATCTAAGATAAAAATTTTCATGCTTATTAAAAAGTTTTAAGATCTATTTCTCATCGTTATATAGATCTTATACAAGATGCCGAAGATAGTAGTGATGAGGAATAGTTATGTTGTTATGTATTTCTGTTATTAATAAATTTTTTTCTAATTAAAACTATATTACATAATTATTAAAAATGTTCGCAATTTGGAAACGCAATAAAAATCAGATCAACATGATTTTCTGTGTTCCAAATTGCGAACACTTTTTTCTTAATTGGCTTAATTTTTGTTCGCAATTTGGAAGCTATATGCAGACGAGTAAACGCTAAAAACGCTGTTTGAATACGTTCAGACGGTAAAGTATAGGAAAGAAAAACGCTTTATACCTGGTTTAGATAATGTATCAGAAAGTGAACTGGTTAAAACCGGTTCCTTCTTGTATAGACAAATTTTAACACATTTAGTAGACAAAAATGATGATTTGATTCGTTTTTATGCATTGATAAATACGAAATAGAATTAATGAATAATTTCTCATTGAAACTCGATTATAATTCTTTTCTCTAAAAACTGCAAGTTTCAATGATTGGATTAGACATGTTGTAGTGTAATTAGAATGAAAACGTTAGCCATCTTGTTCGATAAAAAGGCTAGAAAATTTTATGTGTTAGAACGTACGTTACAAATTAGAAAAAAGACATTGATTGGAATATGAAAAAGAGAACACCTCAGTGCTCAGCATATGTACAACCGTTTACGCCACATGGTTCATGGCAGCGGCAGCGGATGAAAATTTCGAAACTGAATAATTCTTTAGATGATAAGAAATGCCTGTTTATTTCAATATTTGATTATTAATAATTGGAAAAAACTAAATAAAATAATTGTATTTCGCACGTTATTGTAGCCAAGATATTACATTTAAATAATTTAGATAGGAATAATCAATTACTAATCACTATAGTCCGAAGTCAAAAGATCCAACGATCCTAAGGATGAACAAACTTTGTTGATAGATATCAAGATGCTAAAAAATTGCTCTCTTGATTTTTTAACGGTAGAAACTAGAAGACGATCTCTACAAAACATTAAGTTTGAGTTATGCTGGAGATCTTATTCTTATTGTGCATCTTTTGTTATTTAGTGATTTAGAGAAAACATGGAGAAAATATGCTAATTTGTCGTTTTGATTTGCTGAGATTCTATCATTCGATGAGTTGTCAATAAAAGATTTATTATATGTTCTGAGCGTCATGTAAAACTGTAAATGCTAATCCATTTTCGATTGAGGATAAACTATCATCTATTTGTTCAAATTTTCATTTATAGAAGAAAATTTTGCAATAAATCCGTTTGATATCTAATGTATCATTTGCTCTTTTGTGCAAATGACATGAATGATAGCATATAAATTATTGTTTTAGTACATTATGTAGCTTTCTTAGAATAAAAAAATCTTTCATTGAAATTATGAAAACTCGTTATATCAAGTGATAGATTCAGATATAAATAAAATTTGAACCACTAACATTAATAAAACTTCTTTATACTTTTCTTATTCCTGATATAGAATGTTATTTTTTTGTTCATATAAGCAACCGAAAAGATTGATAAAAAAACTTTATGGGTCAAACATAACCGAATATGAGTAAAAGTTTTCGATTTTTGCTTGCAGATATCGACAGCGGCTGAAACTTTCATAAATTTTTCTTAGTAACGGCGGCGCAGCGGCGGCGACAGCTCAGAAATTCTTAAAATTTCCGTTGCTACAGCAGCAGCGGCTCAGCCGCACGGCTTACACCTCTAAATAAAATATTCTTGAACAATAAATTGTCAATAAAGCCCAGAGAGTTACTTTATGTTGCTCTGTTTCATTAACATGGTTTTCGTTGAGAATTTATAATTTTGTACAAAATAATTGATTTCGTCTTTCAAAGCAATACAATAAGAGCATATCAGATAGATTCATGTTGACTATAAGAAGCTTCCTTGATTAATGTATATCTTAGATGAAATATAGAAAAGTATCGAAAGTATTTATATCATCAAATGATAACTGTGAATTTTCATAGTACTAACCATTCAATGGATTTACTTATCCACTAATGTGATACATCCAATCTACAAATGGTGGATTTCAGCATGATCCATATTCCTATTGTATCCGCTGTATGTTTGAGTGATTTTGAATACCTGGAAGCTCCCATTCAAGATATGATAGGGATATGGAAGCTACTGGAATCCGCATTTTCCCTTGGATAAATCACAATCAACATAATTTTTTTTGTAAGATTTGATTCACGTGACACATATGATTGTAAACCGTTTGTAAAATTTGTTACAGTGTCAAATATGACCAAATGCTTATCTTCTAGTTTTTTTATTAGATGACAAAAGATGATTCCAAACAATGACTAATAGATACAGACATTACATCTCTCATGCTTGAATAAGAAATCACGACTGATGAAAATATTTTCTTTACCTATTAGAAAAACTAAGAATGCAAATGATCGATATACAAAATCAAACAAATATTTCCGCCATATTCTTTAGAAAAAGTTTATGAAAACTTGTGGATATAATGTATATTCATTGATTTTGTTTCGTATTGAGAATTCTTTCATGATATAACATAATCAACAGATATCTTAAATAGGATCTTTTTCCAATTTGCTTTATACTTCATTGTATCTTTAAATAGGTCTTAAGCATAAGTATAGAATAACCATTATTTATTATCTTTTAGTGAATTTATCCGACGTTTTATTATTTTCATACATTTTGTTTTATTGTAAATTAACTGAATATACTTAGAGTTAACTAAAAGTTGTGACAACATTAAATAATAATATAAAATTAAAGAAATATTTTTAATTTAATTTTAATAAATGTTCAGAATAGTTGCTATAATTATTTATACAAAGCTCTATTCTTTCTAAAAACCTTGCCAAATGTTATTTTATACTCTTCTTCTGAAATATTTTTAACTATCTTGGAAACTACACAAGCTAATGAAGTTTCATTTGTTTGATCAATTATATTACGCTTGACATAATCATTTAGCCAAAAATGACATGGTGTAAAATCTGATTAGAACTATCGATGCAGTATTAAATTGATACTTTCTTACATTAAATAATTAATAGCATCTGGATCAGTATGAGCTCGAGCATTGCAATGAAGTAATTTTATACCTTGTGCACTTCATGACTTTCTTCGTTTCTATATTTCATTAAGAACAGATTTGAGGCAATTTTCAATATAATAGTTGTGATCTATAGTCTTGTTTTTATCTATACTATGTAAAAGGAAAGGATTATTTGATTTAAAGAATATAGAAAACAAAGTTCTTAGTTTAAATCTACTTTTAACGAATAATAGTTGTTGGTGATTCACCTTTACTAATCCAGCTTGCATTAGTTAACTTGCGTTCAACCTATCTATGATAAATCCATATTTCATTATCTGTAATAATATTACATGATCGCCATGATCCGTAGCAAAATTGTCACGATAAATTCTAACTCGTTTCTGCTTTTGTTCATTATCGAGTTGATGAGATATCCAACGTGACATAACTTTCCTTGTCTTTGGACAATCGGGAATAATTCGTTCTATTATACTATGAGAGAGAGAGAGATCTCGACTTTAGTATCATCATAAGTTGAATGTGAATCATTGTTGATAACCTGTCGTGCTAGTTCAATATTTACAACTGTTAGCTCGAAAACCGGACAACCAGATCGAGAGTTATCATTGATATCTTCTCTTCCTTTATGAAAACGCTTTACCCATTATTAGGAAAAAAAGATGGTTGATCTTTTCCTTTATTTTTACTAAATCAAAAATGCCCTCACACATATAACAACTAAGCTACATAACAAACCAAAAATAAGAGGAAAAACGCGCATTTATATATGATCACACGCATCGAGGGTTTTAATGAAAAGAAAGAAATGATGATATGTGATCGAAGATATCACATCTAGGGAAAAAGAAAGAGAAAGAAAAAAGAAAAACATACTGTGAGGGCAATGCCCGTAACACCCATCTTGCAACTATTTAATATGATGGTGTATTAAGGCGCAATGCTGTTATGAGTTCTTTGTGAATCAGCTTTGCATCAATTTCAAAAATAGTCCAAATATTAATCTAGCATCGATTGAATTGATTACTCATTTTTCATAATTTTTTTTTGTATTGAAATTGAATTTTATCGAGAAGAATATTAGAATTAAACGCAAAATGGATTCCTTATAGATATATTATTATAGACAAGACATTCTACTACTATTTATTGGTGCAACAAACTCATAAATGATAACTGGTTTCTAATATTGTCAGCGACGTTGCCAAAGGTTTTAGTTAGACCTAAGTATCATTATTCAGATACAGCATGAATATCAAGGATAGATTAGGAATACGAAGCACGTCAAGGCTCGTTTTTTATCCGTCAAATATATAACATTAGTGTTTAAATAGACTGAATGACTAATATTATGGAAATTTACAATTGTCATTTGAGAGTATAAAGTCTGTCGAAACTTTTATATATTTCTTCGGGCAACATTGATCCAGAAAGCTTCTTTCAGCAAACATTAATCTGTCTGATATAGTCTAATTGAATTAACTTGGCAGATAAAAATCAATCATTATGTGTAAATTACAATTTCTTAGTACATATTATGTTAATGGAAAAGAAAACTAAAAAATAAATCTGTATAAATGATTGATGATTCGCTTTCAATCAAAATTTTTTATTCATTCAAAATATATAACACTATTGACACATCATTTTTCGTTTCATTGTTACAACAAAATCATACAAAGCTTTTCGAAATACAGCTCCACCACACAATGTATAGAGATAGAAAGGCATACCATTGGATATGAAATAAATTAAAACGGCTGCATTATATGAAAAGACATTAATGGCAATGTCTCGCGAAGATTCATCTTCGTGTATGAATGATGAATAAATTTTTTGAAGAGACAATGGAAAAGTAAAGATAACGAGAAACAAAACCTGAACAAGAAGCATTCGAAGAACACTACGATCTATTTTCTGTTTAGATTTTCGCTCTGTGTTACCAGCAATTGGTTCTGACGACTTATTCATAATAGAATTAATATTCGGTAACTGTAAAGCGCGGATACGATTTTGAGATTGACGCACATTTGAAATAGTTAACAAACCAAATAAAATCATAAGAACTAAAGGAAATAGTATTGTGATCACAGCAAATGATGAATCAGTGATAAAACGACATGCGTTCGTTTTACCATAACATCTCAGAGGAGTATCAATAAGATTTGCTTCATAGCAGTATAATTGTTGAGCATAGAGAAGAATTGAAAGAATGACAATTATTGTTGTCCATCGTTGAACATTCTTTAATGTGCTTTTTTGTCGACGATGAACATTGGTACTTGATGAAAGCCATCGATCAACAGTGGCTAATACAATTAACCATGAAGCAATTGTTCTTGTTGAGAATACAACAAAAGCACGAAGTTTGCAAGCCCATCCAATATTATCTATTGGGTCGGTCGTCCAACCACTAATTATTCGTGTAGTAAGACCAAATAGAATAGAAATGAGATTAACAATGGATAAAGCCAGAAAAATCCAAGCACATGAATTAGAACGAAGTGCTCTTTGTGACAGAACAAGAATATTGAGAATATTTCCCACAACACCGAATAGAAGAATTAAAATTGAGACATAACGATTAAATTGAGTCGAAATATTGTCTAATAATATGATAAGAGACTCGTTATATGATAACTCCGACATCTTTCTCTTTAAAAAAAATTGAATGAGACTCTATTAGAAATAAATGACAGAAAAAAATTGGATCTAATAATCTTTGTTTTTCCTAAAAGTAGAGGATGTGTCGAAGGCGCTCAAAGCATCAGTCTATTAGATGTTTATTGAATAAAAAGACTCTCAGCTTCCAATAAAATTTTCTACGTATTAGAAAACTACCTTGAAGGAACGTTCATTAATATATTTGTCTCAAAATATGTCTAGTTTTCAAGCGTTTTAGCTGAAAAATCTTAACAAGACTTCAGTCAATATTATTTCGAGGCTTTAAAAAATTCTTCACAAATCCTGAAAATCATTTCGGTTTTTAAAAACACTTTTTTAGTTAAAATCATGAAAATAAACTAGATGCATTAGAAGACTCCCTGTAAAGTTTGTACACTTGAACATGATAGAAGACTTTGGATTTCCAATTATAGAGAGCAGTTTACGTAAGTTGTGTCATCTCACAACAATGACAACTGCTAAACTTTTTGTAGCCCATTTTAGTATATATTCTACAAAAATATCTAACCTATCTGTTTTTTATACCGAGAACCCTTGAAAAAAAAGTCATTTCTACGGTTTTAAGCACGACTTATTGCTATTAGAAATCCAGTACATTGAATGAAGGTTTAGATCTTTTTAACACTAAACATCAAATTAATAGTTCGATTAGTTACTTTGTTTCAAATCTTCTACGAA